ACATATTCATTCTCTCTCTCTCTCTCTCTCTCTCTCTCTCTCTCTCTCTCTCTCTCTCTCTCTCTGTCTGTCTCTCTCTCTCTCATACATGGAGAATAGACATGGGAGGAGTAAAAGGGAGGTGAGAAAGAGAAAATGATATAATTCTAATTGTAAAATACTATACATCATGTTTGCTTATTTTAAATGTTTTAGTTTTGATCCAGCCCCTATGTACCTCTGTGAGTAACAAAATACCATCATACAAGTTAAGTATTCAAGATAGGAACTACTGAGTCATGAAGCAAGTACATCTGTTTTCTAATAATTTTCCTTTCTACAGCTTATTTCTACAGTGAAGTTCTTGGCTCTATAATTGAGTTCCAGGACCTATAATTTCTCACTCTTTCATATAGCACTTATGTATATATCTATTTAATAATTTAATTTGAAGGGGTTTGAAGGGGATTGTAGGACATTCATACATTTTCATTTTTTTAGTATGTATATTTCTTGTAATTAAATAGATTCTTCTTCTCTTCTTGTTGGAATCATTTTGCATATATTACAAGTAAGTATATTATACATAAGTTTAAGTTTGTACATAAAATAGAAAAATTACTACGTGGAAAAATATTAATTAAAATATTTTATTTATTATTATGTTTGTGGGTGACATGATTGTGAGTCATTGTGTGTGTACCATGAACATATTTGAAGGTCAGAAAACAAAGAATATTTGAGAAATTTATATACAAGTATTATATTTACGTCATGAATACCCCTCCTTTCTATTGAAACTACTTCCTTGCCTCCTATTCCATCTCAAACTCAAGACTTAGTCTTCCTTACAAAGAAAATATATAAGAGCCTGATTTGTGTTGTTCTCATATACATATGTTTATGCTTACCACTTGTGATTGAATAACTTCTAAGTTGATTCATCCCTGTGGAAAACTGGTTCTAATGCTCTAAGAGTCATAGACTAGTAACAATCTCCTTTGATTTGTTGATCAGGAGTGTAAATGTCAGTTTTATTTCCTAAGATGAACTGATAAAATGTGAGCTTTACCAAAGCTATGCAAATGCACAGCTTAAACTGGACCTGGATCATTTCCTTCACTATTCTAAGTATTCCTAGGCCAAGGCCTTGAAGCTTCTAGTCTCCATACAATCTAATTTTCCAAGTAGACTGATATAAATTAGCATTTCTCTTGGCTTCTCAATGAATTGCTCTGCATGGAAATAATGCCACTGAATTCCAGGAATTAACATGCATTGATTGACCACAAAAACAGAACAGAACTGAGCAGAACTGCTTGAACTCAACTGAACTCCAGTACATTGCCTGAACTCAACTGAACTGCACTCTCTAGTCTGCCATTCACCATAACTCACTCTGCTCTGCCCTTAAATTGATTTTCCTTCCTGTCTGTTCTCATGAGCTTTGGTTATGTTCTGTCTCTGACTCATTCTGTCAAATCTTTCTCTGATTCCTCCCTTTGTCAGCCCCTTAATTAGATGTCACTTTCAAATGTGGCAGCTTCCTTCTATAAAGTAACTACCTTCTACAAAGTAATGGTTTGAGATTAATGGTGCTTATTAAGGGTTTGTCTTTATTCCAGCAAAGGGAATAAAAGTGTATCATTCCAGCAGGACCACACAGATCTAGAAGTTCCTTGCCAGAGCAGACATGTTGCTGGATTAAAATTCATCTACACAGGCAAGTCTAAGAGACTTCCAAAAATGATAGGCCATTGTCATTACCCTTGATTGCCTCTCAGAACTTGAAAGTAAAGACCATATTGCTGAAGACATCATATACTTCAGATATGGGACTTGGATGCATGGAACCATAACTGATCTGAAATATCCCCTAAACCATTGGATCTCAGTATTAGTTTAGGGTTGGAAGTTGCTATGGAAGTTCATAAGTAAGAAAAGTAATCAATAGTTCTAACCAATTCTGAAGCCTGTTCTTCACAATACCAGCATGGTAAGATATGTCCTGTATTGAACAATAATTCATTATATTGAGTTTAACCAACAGCTGTCCAATTGGGTTTAAGATATTTTTAATAGGATGTCGTTTTCATCTGATCCTGTAACCCTAGTGAACTGTCCGTGGCTGGGGAGACATAGATTGAAGAGGAGGATGGTATCCTAAATATCATAAAACTCACATAAATGTAGGTTTTACTACTAAACAAAGATAGTATTTTATGCAGCAGATGGTGTATAATGTAGAGATGCACAACTAGTGAAAATGCAGAGTGTAAGTTACTGTGATGTGTCAATCCCCAATTAGTACATCTCAAAAACTACTAAGGCATCTAAGGCTCAAGAAACAAAGTAGAAGATGGGTAAGAAAGATTGTAGAAGTAAGAAGAACAAGATGTTTGCTGAAAGATAGTGTCTTCTAGAAAGAAATAAGCTTCACTTATGGAATTTTAACAACAGTTTCCTAAAGAAGACCTATAAAACAAATATGTCAGTCAACATGCCAATATGGATGGAATAAATTTTACAAAGGTATACCCTTAGATTTTGTCATTCTTAATATCACCATCATCTTTGTAACCTTGTATATTTTAAAAATATTCCTGTAAACCTGCTGAAATTCATATTTCTATATAAATTTTTAATGTAATTGCCATAGTAATAACTAGGCTTAATTATTACCTACATTACAAAATCTGGTGATTCTTGTGTTTCCTATGCAGATATGGTGGTTTTGTTTCTAGATAGACACTTATATTTTTATTGCATTTTAGATACTTTATATAAAATATCTAAATATTTTATCCAAATATCTAAATATCTATATATTTTATGTAAAAGAAGGCTGAAAAATAGTGCTTTCTTTTCATATTACTAGAGATTTCTTTCTATTTGATTGCTAGGCATGCATTACATTCCCAACTAATGATGAATGGGGAAGAATCTGGATGTTGTATACAGAGCTTAGTCTGAACCAACTACTCTTGGCTTTATGCCATTCTCCAGAGTGTTGCAACATATGGAGGACATGACCTCAATGCCATATTTCTTGCCTACTGTAGGAGGTAAGGGGTGAGTATGGGGGAGGACATCTGTCCCTCATCTAAGCTGCCACAGAACAGACAAATGTTAGGGACAGCTCTTCCACATTCAGCCTCAGGCCAATCTCTGACACCCCCACCATCTGATGGTGTTGAGGGTAAAAGGGAAAGAAGGAGACTCCACCACACAGCAGATGAGATGTAGGGCCAGCTCTCTCATGCTCACACCCTCATGGCCAGCTCGTCTGCAACCCACACATACAGGGTCAGCACTGTTGTGTTACCCAGGTGAGGTTCAGAGCTTGCTTTTCTGCATTGATAACCTTGGGGCCAATTCTCCTGAATTCCATAGGTGGCAAGGGGTAAGGGGGGTATCTCTACATTGCCCACATCACCAAATGGCATACAAGTGGCAGGCTTAGCTCTTCTATACTCACATCCTCAAGCTGTCTTGCTTGCAACACTGACAACAGGGTCAGCTCAACTGTGCTGCCCAAGTGAAATGCAGGATCTGCTCTCCAGAGTGCTGTAGCTAGTGAGGGACAAGGTCAGGTCTCCTGCTCTTATGACCCTAGGGCTAAGTCTCCTGCCTGACACATGTGGTGAGGGGCAAGAGAAGAGGAAGGTTTCTCTTCTTCTTGCACACAACCTCACAGAAGATGAGTGTTAGGGGCAGGACAGGTCTCCTGTTTTCACGCCTCACAAGATGCCTAGGTAAGGGTTGGGACAAGTTCTGCAAAGCCCTCAGACACCAACATGTCCCCAGTGGCAGCCCACATCAGAAATATACACCTGAACTTTGTTGGTAACAGACGTTGGCTGCTGGAGGGCCATAGACCCAGACTTGGTCCTGGTGGCATCACAGACCAGGACCCTACCATAGTCCCAAGCATCACTGGATAATCACACCAGGTAGTTCCTCACTTCCCCGAAGTCTCCTGTTGTATTTCTTCATGATGTACACATTGTTCTGTTTCTCTTCCTCTCTCGGCTTTTTACCACTTTCTTGGTCCTTTTAAAGGTGTCCTGAGTTTCTAAGTATCCTTGGTCATCTCAGGAGTCCTCTCAAAAGTGCTAGCTCCACTTGTGCATTATAGAGCTTGACTGGTGGTCTTTTCAGGCTAGCTCCCTGTCCTGGGCTCCTGACAATGGACTGGTGGTAATCTTTGGCTTTTTTTTTACTTTTCAAGGAATGGTTGGGTACTTATCATTCAGATGGTCGGTCACTAGTCAGAACACTGAGCATAGACTAGCTTCTCGCCTCTCTGCCACCTACTGATGCACAGTGATACAGCAGCCACACCTGCAATGCCTCTAGAAGTAGAATACTATTATTTTTGAGATACTAATAATATAATCACATCACTTCTCTGTTTCTTTTCTTTCTCCAAAACTATACCATATATTCTTCATTGATCCTTTTCAAGTTCATAGCCTTTTTTTCTTTAATTGTTACATGCATATATGTTTCTCAACATAACCTTTCAGTTTGTATGTTGTTACTTATATATTTATATATGATCATTTGGTATTGGATAACTATTGAAGATTATCTCTCCCACTTTTAGCATTTCTTAGCTGTCTCTAAATCTTTTCTGTGTCATGATTCACATTGTGTTGAGTTGTGCTGATAGTGTCTTTGCATCTATTAACATATTTTTCTTTCTGTTAATTTGGTATATCACATTTACTGCATTGCATATGTATAATAAGAGCTTTGTGTATGGTCTGTATTGTATGGAATTTGATGACTAGTCTTTCTTTTATTCTTTATGGAATAACTAAGTACTCTTAGATTAAGTTATAGATTTTTGATATCGGTGTGGATTGCTATAAATCTTTTCCTCATATTTCTTTATTATCTCCCAGAAACTTTACATACTATATTTTTATTGTTTTTTTGTCTGATTTCCATTTTTTTATAAGAAGGATCATTCAAGATCACTTGTCATTTACAAGCATTTGTGAAATTTTGAGCATTCTTTGTATTGTCAATTTCTATATTTATAACATTGTGTCAGAAAACTATGTGCTTATGCTGTCTAGGGTTTGTGTGTGTGTGTGTCCTAATATATTATCTATGTTGGAAATTGTTAGAGAGATATGAGATGAAATATAGATATTCCAGTGTGTCTCTTTTCTATATGTTTTCTTATTTGAAGAATCTATATTTGTTTGAAATTATGTTGCTAATGTTCCTTGTTGTTATTGTATCTTCTTTGGTTCCTTTAATATTTCATATATGTATATCCTCCAATGTTCAGTGAATATGTGTTTACAATAGCCATATCACCCTGATAAACTGACTCATATAATGTTACTTGTTGATTTTAAATTATTTAGTATGATATTATTTTGTTTTATCAAAGACAGGTCAAGCTATCTCTGCCCTCGGTGGGCTTTCAATCCATAATGTACAATTGCTTATCTTTTGACATTTTGTCTATATGTATCCATAGAGCTGCAATGAATCTCTTATTTATTGCCTGTGCATGGTTCTGTTTTCTGTTTTTGTTTTCTTCTCATTGTTTTCTGTCACTATTTTTTTTCTAAAAAAATTTTGGATACTCATATTACCGGCAATTTCTGGTAAGGAAATAATATTGTCATGAATTGAATTGTTTTCTATTTATTTTGATATCTTCCTTGCTGTCTTCCTGTTTTTCTTTTGTTTTGTTTGTTTATTGTCTGCAATATATTGCAGTGGCTCCAAAGCAATAACAAAACTAGGTGATAATTTTTCTTAAGCCAAATATTTCCTCTTAGCCATTCAAATTTGGCTGCACTACTCAGAAATCTTTTAAGTCACTTCATAGATGAAAACATATGACAATCACAAGTTACTTCAGTATAAGAGACAGACATTTGCATGTAAGAAATTAGGAGCTCTGTTGATAAATACCAGCTATCCAGGATTAACCTTGAAAACATATCTGTAGTCATTATTTGTAAAATTCAAATATCAGATATGTTTAAATTATGTTTATTTATTTATTTGTCTTTAATTATAAACCCTATTTAAATGACATGCTGTAAAGGCTGGTAAATATGACTATAATAAAAGTTCAAAAACTATACTTTCTCTAAAACTGTTCAGCTCATCATTGCTCTTAATATTGAGAGTTTCCTCATTCTTCCATTTATGTGTATTGTATGCATATCTAGCCACCTATGTTCCTCAAATCACACCAAAATGAAGTAACTTTTTTTTGACAGAATATGTTGCAAGGTCTTTCTTTCTCTTTTTACTTTTTATTTGTGTGCTTATGTGTATATAGTTTGTGTCTTAAATTCTAAAATTGTATGTTTACATGATTTTGTGTGTGTGTGTGCGTGAGAGAGAGAGAGAGAGAGAGACAGAGAGACAGAGAGACAGAGAGAGAGGGGGGGAAAGAGAATGTTTGCTTGTGTGTATATTTACCTCAAACTTCTGCTTGTGAATTCTGGGAGATTTACTTGGAAGATTTAACACTATAGCAGGCTTCTTTTACCTTCTAATTTAGTCATGATTGCATGCGTGTCTCTACTTTTACTCTCTATTCTACATTCTAACACTTTTGAAGTCAGCCCTAACATAATTATAATATGTTAAGTCCCGAGATGAATCATTAAAAAAGAAGTGTTTCATTCCTTTGGAATCTTATGAGAATAATTAATGAGCATTAGGGAAGGAGAGCTTAATCTATGGGTGAAGGCAATACTGAATACTTCTATATTATGGCTTATTTAATTTCCTTGAGTCCTGCAGTTAGATGTAGATTTCTGACATTAATTATATTTTATTAAATATCATTATAATTTGTAAGAAAAAATTATTCCCAGTAATCAAAAAGGCTATCATCTTTTCTCCATTTTGCAAATGTTTCTTACTATTATAGATACTACTTTCTAAATTCATTTAATATTCATATTGAAATAAAGCATCTGTTGTGGCAGATGGAGCAAATGACATCCAGTTCAGCTGTTTAAATAACCCTTAAGGATCAATGTGAGATTTACAAAAAATAACTTGTAATTCATTTTGGATTAATTAATTTGAATTTATGCTGTTCTATAAAGGCATATTGCAGCTGTTCCCAATACCAAACTGACTGAATTGAAATGGTTAGAGAGCTTAAAGCATGCTTTAACAGACAGAAAACAATACTTCTGCTTCATTGTTTATATTTATAAATAAATACATCTTCAAAAAATCTGGAAAGATAACATACATGAAACAGAACAATTCAATTCCATAATTATTTAGATAGGTTTTTGATAGTATGAATTTTCTACAATTTCAAGTTATCGTATGTCGACTTATATCAACACTCAATGAGATCATTCAAATACTTTCAAATGCACTCTTTATTTTTTATATGTATTCTCCTACTAATGAGAATCTTTTCCGTGTTATATATTATATACAAGGTGCAAGAAAGCATAATAAATTTTAAAAGCAACAATAGCTATTTTTTCACAAGAGACAATAAAAATATCTTTCATATTAGTTGTATCTTTCAGTGACAATTTGTTGTCTTTTATGAGAATTTGTTGACTATTAGAACCATCATTCAGTCCACATTGGAAGATCTTAAAATCCACAAAATGCACCGGCAATTACACCCATGCAATAAATGAACTATTTTTAAAGAGTGAGAGCCTTGAATGAACAGTTATTGTAAAATTCAGTTTTTTACCTTGTGTTCTGATATCTTAACTGCTTTGCATTTTGCCTGTTTTCTTTCTATAACAATTACATTTTATAATCAAAGTCAAGTAACCCAAGAAAGATGGAGTTGATTTAATTTAGGCACCATTACCTACCATGGTATTTATTTTATTTATATATAATTTTAGCTTTTTATTTAAAACCTTTTCTTCATACAAGATATTTTGATTATATTCTTATCTCTCCTGACTCCTCCCTAGTCATCCAACTTCATGTTCTCTCTCTAACTTTTTTGTCTCATAAACAGAAACCAGTGAACAGTAGTCAAATAAAGCAAACTTAATAATAAAAATAATCAATGTATACCAAAACAAAAAATATCACACACACACACACACACACACACACTCAAATATTGCCTATTTCCTATTTCTCCCATTTATGTTGGAAAACACTCCTGTACATGGGCCTTGGCATAAAATGTGACTGTTCTACCCATCTATTGAAGAAGACTATTTTTTTCTTTCTTTCATAGAAGGTATCAGTTACAGAGAACTCCCTGGTTAGGAGTGGGGCTTTGTATCTATTTTCCTTTCTCTGTGCTGGAATTTTTTTTTCTTTAGGTTGAACTTGTGTCTGTGATTTCATTTATTTATCAGTCCTGTTGTGTCAAAAAGATGCTAATTCCTCAGTGTCATTCAGCACTTCTCTCTTACAGTCTTCTTGTACTCTATTGCATACAGATCCTTGAGCCTTGAGGGAAGGGTTTGCTAAGACTGAATGCTCAAAATTTTTACTTTTAGAAAATTGTGCCATTGTCGGACACTGTGTTTATTACAGTCTAGTGCAAAAAGCAGCTTCTCTGATAAGTGTTGAATAATGAGCTGATGTCAAAATATAGCAGTAACATTAGGGTTTATTTTATTGCTATGTTCCTTTAGCAGAACAGTAGTAGTTTTTCTCTTAGGGCTCATAACATAAGAGACAAATAATCAATGCTTTTTCCTATTTATGGGTATTAGTTGCTAATGTTTACATATATGTTTCAATCAAAATAACTACATTGATTATGTGGCTAGTAATGGAGCAAGTGGAAAGAGGGGATTCTCCCATGAAAGAAAAGAAAATATAACATTATAAAGAGATACATGAGAAGTCACTGTCTCTTTTAAAATGTATACAGAATATGTATCAATAAGAACAATTCTGAATATTAGTTGAGATTGTTGTCAATCTGCCTTTCTTACCCTATCCCTTATCGAACACAGTTTGAGCATTTGCACTCAAAATCAAGAGAAAGACACTCACAGATTAGGAAGTTAGCTCAGTCAGCTGATTATGCTCTGTTACAGAGACAAGAATCAGGTGTCCTTCCATTTAACTTAGTTGGTGTTCAAACAAGTGCCATGACTCTCCTATGCCTATAAGTTATATTATGCCAGCAGGCTATCAGAAACAGGCAGGGGAGTTAATGGTGGGATAGAACAGAGTGTTGTGATAGAATAGGAGATTATGGAAATGAAGAAGTTATGTTATAAAATGTGCAGCCTTGTCCCAAGGTGCAAAAGTGAGAAACATCCAGGCTCTGAAGATACAAAGATTTTGTTACTTATACAATGTAATAAAATATGAAATTTCATTTGTATTTTTCATAGGAATGTTTTTATTTTGTGA